AGTACATGTGGTTGATGTAGTTAGTGTAGTTGGTGTAGTACAGTAAAAACCCGCAACTAAGAACCTAAAAATTAAGAACCTGTTAGCCTAAAATTGGTCATTTATACCCCCTATAAACAAGAACCTATTAAGCCTAAGAAATTTAAAACAGGTTCTTATTTTCTAAAATCATACTAGTACATTACAGCTGCATTGCAAGAATCATATTTGAAGCAAAAAAAAGCAGATTGCCATTGTTGTAAAAATGTTTTTTAAAGAAAAATGAGTGTAAGATATGTTTTTTGGGGGGGGTGGGGGGTGGGGTGGGGCTGAAGGAAATAAAAGTATAGGCTAATGACCAACTTGTTTGCAGCTGTGTTTTAATTGTTTTTTCTCCAAGATTAAGAACCCATTTTAAGAACCTAAGGGACTGGTCAAAAAGTATAGGCGGGGGTGGGCCGGAGCAGAGAGGGGGTGGGTCATGAGGTTTTGAGCCTTGTCGAAGGGGTGGGTCGTGCAATTTTCAGCTACCCTTAAGGGGTGGGTCACCCTATTTCATTACATAGATAAGCACTAAGTACTAACGAGACAGTTGACCACACTTGTTATATAAAACACAGCCAGCTGGAATTATTGCTATAATACTCACAAACCTGTTGTGCGAGAAAATGTAACGGGTGACAGGCCGCACATGCATCTATACGGGTGTGAAACCCTTTGTTAACCTTTTTTTTTTTTTTGCTCTAACGAGCATGTCCTTTAATGATTTTCCTTTTTTTTAAGGAAATGATTGGTGGTTCCTCAAAAAGTTATGGAAGGTATGGTTGGTTTTGTATAAGATCCCATTTTTATTATTCAAGCTTTTCTTTATTGTAGACATTGAGGGTTGGCATTGTGTCACAAATGGCCATATTTTTTTTTCCTCCTTGTATGTTTTGTTTTGGGAGTTTAGACTCGTTTTTGTGAATTTTATTTCTGATAGTAGGTCTTCTATCAAAGTTTGTGGGTAGCCTCTGTCCATCGAGCGTTTTTTTTTGTTAAATTTTCCTCAAAGGTTGTTTCTGAGGAGTTTTTTCGTAGGATTCTCAAGGCTTCTCCTTTGACAAATCCTTTTTTAACACTTGGAGGGTGACACAAGGTGAAATGTGTGTGCAAGAAGGTTTCTGTTTGTTTAAAATGTGTCTTTGCATCAAGGATAGATATTTTCTTGAATCTTGTGCCTTTGTATACAACCGTGTCTAAAAACGCTGCATCTCAGTGTCAAATGTTTCGGCGGTTAATTTAAAAGTTGGGTGATGTAAGTTTGCTTGTTCAATGAAGGCTTCGATGTCTGCTTTACTTATGTCCCATAGGGAAAAGATATCGTGTATGTAGCATTTCCAAACTGTTGTTCTAAGGACAGTTTTGCTTAGAGTTATTGTTTCAATAATTATATGTCATGAAAATATTGGCAAAGGAATCAAAACTGCTGTCTTTGTGCCCATTGCAGTTCCATGGTTTTGTAGGTAGTGCTTTCCATTGAAGTGGAAGAAATTTTCTTTGAGGATTAATCTAAGAATTTCCGGCAAGTAATGTGTAGGAATGGGTTGTCTTTGTAGAAATTTTCATATGCTTTGTGACAGAAAATTTCAATATACCCTCGTTTTGCTGTATATTTGTGTCAAGACTCAAAACGTCCATCGAAACAAGAAATGTTCGGTTTTTCACATTTGTCTTTTCAGTGAAAGGTATGATTTCTGTGATTTTGATATTGGTTGTAGCAGTGTATCAACAAATTTTGTCAAGCACAGAACAAGGTTAGGCCATCCTCTTTTTCTTTCTCCGTTTACCGTCATCCGACCGACCCAAATATTTGGCATTTTCAAAACAAAAAAAAGTAACGACGTAGTTACACCATTTTTCACTTGAAATAATTCTTTTAACCTCAAAAATGAGCACAGTAGCAGCATAGAGAAAAACAGGAACAAAACATGAACATTTTTCACAGTATATTGTACATTTTGTTAATCCAAATATGTGAATGTTAACTTTTAACGTCGTCCTGGGGTACCAGGGCTTACTATTCCGAGACTTCTTGTGATTTATTTTTTAGGTTTTTTTTTTTTTCAATCCGACCGACCGACCCAATATCAGGAAACGCGTTCGACGGTAAACGAAGAAAAAAAAGGGGATGGCCTTAGAGGAAACCAAACATCCATGTTTTAACTAGGGGGTGGGTCATGCAATTTCCAACCTTGCTTTAGGGGTGGGTCAGACATTTTTGTGCCGAAGGGAGGGGGTGGGTCATGTGTTTTTTATCAGCCACATTTCCAAATGCTCCGGCCCACCCCCCCCTATACTTTTTGACCAGTCCCTAAATAGCCTAAAATTCTGTTAAACACCATTTATATAAGAACCTGTTTAGGCTAACTCCCAAAAATGTAGGTTCTTAGTTGCGGGTTTTTACTGTATACGTAGTTGGCGTAGTTACTGTAGTTGGTGTAGTATATGTTGTTGGTGTAGTATGTTTAGTTGGTGTAGTTAGTGTAGTATATGTGGTTGGCGTAGTTAGTGTAGTTGGTGTAGTATACGTAGTTGGTGTAGTATATGTAGTTAATGTTGTTGGGTTAGTTAGTGTAGTTTGTATAGTTACTGTAGTTGGTATAGTATATGTAGTTGGTGTAGTTACTGTGGTTGGTGTAGTATGTGTAGTTAGTGTACTTTGTGTAGTTAATGTAGTATATGTAGTTGGTGTAGTTAGTGTAGTTGGTGTAGTATATGTAGTTGGTGTAGTATGTGTAGTTGGTGCGGTTAGCGTTGTTGTTGTAGTTGCTGTAGATGGTGTAATTACTGAAGCCGGTGTAGTAGTTGTAGTTGGTGTAGTAGTTGTAGTATGTGTAGTTTCTCTTGACTAGTAGGTTTAGTTGGTGTAGTGGCTCTAGTTGATGTAGTAGCTGTAGGTGGTGTAATTTGGTGTACTTGGTGTAGTTTTGTGTAGTAGATGTAGTTTGGTGTAGTTTTGTGTAGTTGGTTTAGTTTGGTGTAGTTAGTGTAGTTTGGTGTAGTTGGTTTAGTTTGGTGTAGTTGGTGTAGTTTGATGTAGTTGTGTGTAGTTGGTGTAGTTTGGTGTAGTTTGGTCTAGTAGGTGTAGTTTGGTGTAGTTTTTGTGTAGTTAGTTTAATTTGGTGTAGTTTTGTGTAGTTGGTGTAGTTTGGTGTAGTAGGTGTAGTTTGGTGTAGGTTGGTGTAGTTTTGTGTAGTTGGTGTAGTTTGGTGTAGTTTTGTGTAGTTTGGTGTAGTAGGTGTAGTTTGGTGTACTTTTTGGTAGTTGGTGTAGTTTGGTTTAGTTTGGTTTAGTAGGTGTAGTTTGGTGTAGTTTTGTGTAGTTGGTTTAGTTTGGTGTAGTTGGTGTAGTTTGGTGTAGTTGTGTGTAGTTGCTGTAGTTTGGTGTAGTTTGGTCTAGTAGGTGTAGTTTGGTGTAGTTTTGTGTAGTTGGTGTCGTTTGGTTTAATTGGTGTAGCTTGATGTAGTTTAGTGTAGGTTGATGTAGTTTGGTGTAGTTGGTGTAGTTTGGTGTAGTTTAGTGTAGTTACTGTCATGGGCGGATCCAGGATTTTTTTTAGGAGGGGGTGCATTCGTCTCTTGCTCTACCTCAACACCAATAAACCACATAGTTTTTTTTTTGCAGAATACCAGTTGTATTAGAAAACCGGAGGTCATCTGGGGGGGGTGTGCACCCCCTGCACCCTCCCCTAGATCCGCCCCTGACTGTAGTTGCTGTAGGACATTTATGGTGGTGATTTGCTAACACCTGTGAAATCTAATGCAACTTTCTGAAGGTTGCTTCTTTGGGAGGCTCCTTACTTTCCGAAACTTAACGGTAATATACCAATGAGGTGTTTATTACTGTGATCATCTACCCAACATAATAGACAAGAAATCTAAAAATAATTTTACCTGTTGGAAGCCTTATAACAAGGTAAATCGATCATGATAATATTTCAAAATAAGCGAGTTAACAAAGCAACATTATTTCATTAGACAAACAACAACAACACCCATAAAATAAAAAATATATATATATTAAACAGACAAAGCGCCGATGACACACACAACAGTTTTTTACATATACAACTACACTAACTACACTATCTACACCAACTACAGCAACTACACTAACTACACTTACTAGACTAACTACACATACTACACTAACTACATATACCACACCAACTACACTAACTACACCAACTACACTAACTACACCAACTACACATACTACACCAACTACAGCAACTACACCAACCACGTATACTACACCAACTACAGTAACTATACAAACCACACTAACTACACCAACTACACATGCTACACCAACTACACCAGCTACACATACTACAGCAACTACACTAACTACACCAACTACATATACTACACCAACTACACTAACTACACTAACTACACTAACTACATATAACACACCAACTACCTATACTACACCAACTAGAGTAAACACGCTAACTACACTACCTACACCAACTACACAAACTACACCAACTGCACCAACAACACCAACTACAGCAACTACATTTACTACACCAACTACACTAACTACAACAACTACACTAACTACACATACTACACCAACTACATAAACTACACCGACTACACTAGCTGCGTTAACTACACATACTACAGCAACTACAGCAACTACAGCAACTACATATACTACAGCAACTCCACCAACTACACTAACTACACCACCTACACCAACTACACTAACTATACCAACTTCACATACTACACAAACTACATATACTACACCAACTACAGTAATTACACCAACTACAGTAACTATAGAAACTACACTAACTACACCAACTACACTAACTACACATACTACACCAACTACATATACTACACCAACTACACTAACTACACCAACTACAGCAAGTACACCAACTACAGTAGCTATACAAACTACACTAACTACACTAACTACACCAACTACATTAACTACACCAACTACGTATACAGCAACTACACACACTACATATACTACAGCAACTACACCAACTACACTAACTACACCAACTACACTAACTACACACCAACTACATATACTACACCAACTAGAGTGACTATACAAACTACACTAACTACACCAACTACACATACTACACCAACTACAGTAACTGCACAAACTACACTAACTACACCAACTACACATACTACACCAACGACAGCAACTACACTAACTACATATATTACAGCAACTGCACCATCTACAGTAACTACACTAAGTACACCAACTACACATACTACACAAACTACATATACTACACCAACTACACTAACTACACCAACTACAGCAACTACCCTTACTACATATACTACACTAACTACACACACTACACCAACTACATATACTACACCAACCACACTAACTACACCAACTACACATACTACAGCAACTACACCAACCACGTATACTACACCAACTACAGTAACTATACAAACTACACTAACTAGACATACTACGCCAACTACACCAACTACACCAACTAATCTAACTATACCAACTACACAAAACTACACCAACTACACATACTACACCAACTACATATACTACACCAACTACACAAACTACAGCAACTACACATACCACACCAACTACAGCAACTACACCAACCACGTATACTACACCAACTACACAAAAGTACACCAACTACACATACTATACCAACTACCAACTACATATACTACACCAACTACACTAACTACACCAACTACACATACTCCACCAACTACAGCAACTACGCCAACTACACTAACTACACCAGCTACAGCAACTTCACCAAGACTCTAACTGCACCAACTACACCAAACATCAACTTTGACATAGTGGGCAAAGTGGTCATGGAATGTCCCTATATTCGTTACGGTTGTCATGAACCCATTACCAAATAACATGGAACATACATGTACCAATCATTCTCTGGGGAGACTCCCATATGAAAGGAGCGGGGATGCTCGTGGGAAATTTTGAATTAAACCCTTAAAGGAGATCTGGGCGTGGCCCAACCTTTTTTTGACCCCTAAATGTGATCATTTTAAACTTTGATTACATGAATCAGGTAAATAAAACGAATTGAAAATATATAATTTTTTAATATTTCTTCGAGTCCAACCCTAAAAGAGACCTTTACGGCTAAATATAATGGTGTCCGGGCAATCATTATGCGTTCAAGATATTACTGAATCTAGGTAATTTGGCTACCTATGACTTTTGCCTAGCAATGGCTCCTATGGACACGCTTGAGCAAAGACGTACCCTGCAATCACTTATTCTATTTTTAAATGTTTTAAACTAGATGGCCTAAATTATATCTCCCAATTTTTTTACATTTCGGTTAATTTACGAGGCAGTGGCTTAAATGTTGTGTAGCCTCCATATAATAGCCTTGTCATGCATAACACCTATTTGTAGATGATTGCCCACATGTGGAATCAGTTACCAGCTGTCACCAAATCCTCGACCACTAGCACAATTTCGTGCTCGCCTGAATAATGTTAATTGCACAAGGTGCCAGTGCATGAACTGTATACAATTTTATCTATTTTTACATTTTTACATACTCTTGAGTTAGTTTATAGATATATATATGTATTTTAAATATGTTAATCAGTTTATAATTAGGATTAGTCCATTTTAAACTATTTTTACTGCATGTACTTAGGTTTTTTAGGGTTTTTTTTCACAAAAAAAGTCCCATAAAAATTTTCCCAAACTTACAATGTACTTAATAGTTAGGTTTTTTATATTTGTATAAGCATAATTCTCATTTTATCTTGTTTTGTGTTTTTAATTTGTCCAGCGTTTTTAACACGAGTCTCTGGTTCGGAAAATTGTGCAAACGCTTCCTACGCCTTCGACCCCTTCCTGGCAATCTTCTTTTGTGGGTCAGCAGTAGTGGCAAAATTAGGGATAAATGTGAATCCCATGTTTGCTCAGCCCCATGAAAACTATTTTGGTCATACGAAATGTGCATTTGTCAGCATTCAGGGTTAAGTTCTTCTCCTCAAGCCTCTCCAAAACCTTTATAATCAAATTCTTGCCATTCCGCGCGTGCACAACAAGATCATCAGCTATGTTAGCTACACCATTCAAACCTGCCATTGATTGAGTGATAATATGCTGATACTTCTCAGGAGGAATATTAATGCCGAACTTTTATATCTCTTGTCTCTGAAAATCCCATCATCGGTAGCAAACGCAGTAGTGTCCCTTGAACTACTGTCTAATTCAATTTGATGAAAAACCCAGCGCAAGTCAAGTTTGGAAAATACTGTACTCCCATTTAGACTTTCTTATACCTCATCAACTGTAGTTATCGGCAATCTCTCACACACTATAGCTTCATTGGTTCTTCTCATGTCAACACATAAGCGAATGTCCTCTGATGGCTTTGGTATGACCGCGACTGGGCTAACCCACCTAGTAGGATCCTCTACCTTTTCAATGATGTCATGTTCAAGGAGTTCATTAATATTTGCTGTCACTTTATCCTTAAGAGAGAAAGGAACTCTTTGCATCTTTTGAATAAGTGGTGTCATCTGAGAATCAATATATATATATATTTTTTAATAACTGATTTATTAAACATGATTGAACACAACATTACAATAAACTTTACAATAACAGGTCGGCAAATAAAAAGGAGGCCAAACAGTAAAAAATAAAATAAAATAAACAAAATAAACAAACAAGCAGAAAAAAAGCGAAATACGAAGCTTCTACAGATTAACAACAACAAGCAGAACAAATAGAAAAATGTTTGCTAAATTACTATAAATCCAACACTAATCAGAAATGCACAGCGTGGTCCACTTATTTCTGTATTTGTTAAGATTTACGTTTGTTATTGCAATTTCTCTTTCGCACTGGATTTTAATTTCCAGGAGAACAATGAAAACTTCCAGCTCTGGGGTCTCAAACTTGTTTCTAGCTAAGTAAACGTAATATCTAGCATTTAAGAGATAATGGTTAAAAGTATGAAAGCTGTTAGATCCAGGTTTGTATCCATAAAGAACTTCCGTTGGATTGGGATTTATGTTTTAGGAACGTTTACGATTCCCCCAATCTATGACTTTTTCCCAAAAACTTTTTACCGCAGGACACTCGTAAAATAAAAGTGGTAATAGTTTCACAAGGAGCATCACATTGTTTGCATTTTGGAGAAGATTTAACATCCATTTTCCAAGGGCGTTGGTTGGTCGGAAGAATATCGTGGATGAGTTTGAACTGAAAACTTCTTAGCTTATTTTCAATGGTGATTTTGAATGGAAGTTCATATACGGCACCAGGAAAGAATGTTTGTTCTCTTAAATAGGATTCAGTTAATGGAAGGCAGAAAGATTTCTCAGCAAACATTAGTCGAGCATATTTTGCTGAAACATTTCCAACGGTTAGTCGTATTACCTTTGCTTCGTTGCATTTGTGTGTTCCTGATTGCCATGTAAGATAGCATTTTTCTAATCTTTAGGAATCGCGGCCAGGAGACCACCGTAATCGAGAAAGGTACCACGAATGTTAAAAGTATCTTTAAGGTCTTGGAAAGATAGGAAGTTATCGTTAGCATTGAGGATATCTTTGATTCTTAAAATGCCTTTACTAACCCATGCTTTGTAAAAAACCGTCTTTCCGCCGATCTTAATAAAGCGGTTATTCCAAAGTATTTCCTCTTTAATTTCATTAACACTAAGGGGTACCTTGGAATGAAGGATCTGCCAGACCGTTAAAATGTTCCTATAAAAGAGGGGGAGACTGTTGATAGGAGACAATTCTGTCGTTGTATCATAGGGGTCAGCGATGTTCCGCGTGGGCCTATTGTATGTGTAAAACGATGATGGCTGAATGTGCTTTGAGAATAAAGTGTTGTGTTCTCGAAAGCTGTTGTTCCTTTGATGGGAGCTTACCCAGCCGGTTAACAAGACCTTCTAGGTCTAAGAATTTCAAATCGTAATTACACTGAAACAAAAAAGAGCCTCCGAATTTTTCAAGATGAGAGTCAAGAAGCGCGCACCAATGATGACCATCCGATGAACAATAGCGATTTACCCAGGCAGCTTTAAGAGATTTTTCTAAGTCCGTGAAATTGACCATGTTAGGGCTACCTTTGGAGACTGGGCTGGGCTGGTTCTTTTGATTTTATCAGGCTTAAAGTTCCACATGAAAGGGAAAATGACCTTATTAACTTCTTTAGCAAAATCGGTCGGAGTATCAAGTACAGAGCAATTATAAACAAGTTTAGACAGTGCTAATGTTTTGACAATAGCAATTCGCCCCAGGATTGACAAGCGCCGACCTGACCAAAGTTTTAACACCTTTTTCATTTTAACAAGCCGTTCATCAAAGTTGATTTTTTCGCCAACGTGCGTTTCAGAAGCGAAAACTACACCGAGGGAGGAGACGTATTGCTTCGGCCAAGAGATTCCAAAAGGCTCGCCTTTACCTAATCTGTTTTTCCACAACCCCAGCCACAGCCCTTCAGTTTTCGACTTATTTATTCTCAGACCGGAGAGCGTACTGAATCTAACAAGCAAAGCGAAAAGGGCTACTGCAGACGAGTCGTCGTGAATAAAAGTAGTGGTATCATCGGCATATAAGCTGACTTTAGATTCTTTGTTTCCGTTCTTAAGACCTTTGATCGATTTGCTTGTTCTGATCTGAATAGCAAGAGGCTCTAAGGCAAGAATAAAAAGCATCCCGGAAAGCGGGCACCCTTGTCTCACTCCCCTTTTTAGGGGGATGAATTCCGAGGCGTGTCCATTGTTATTTACAATGCAGCTAGAGATATTATGATAAAATGTGTGGACCCAGTTACGAAAACTTGGGCCAAAGTTCATTTCCTTTAACACCCAGAAGAGGTAGTCCCATTCTAACGAGTCAAACGCTTTTTCAAACTCCAGAAAGAAAATCATTCCTTGGTCATTTTCATGTTGTGCTATAATATAGGAAAGAAGACGAATGTTTTCGCCAA